AGCCTCACGGGGTGACCTTGAGCCAGTCCCTTTCTCTTAGCCCTAAGTGGGGCTAAGCCCTAAGTGACTTGGTGGGCATGGTGTGGCTTGGTGGGCATGGCTTGGTGGGTGTGGCAGGGGAAGGATACTGCAAAATCTCCATTCCCTCCCCACTCCTGGGGGAAGGATATTGCAAAATCTCCAATCCCACCCCACTCTGGGGCCAGTGAGAGGTGGTATTTGCCGGTTCTCCGAACTGCTCAAAATTTCCGCTACCGGTTCTCCAGAACCTGTCAGAACCTGCTGGATTTCACCCCTGGATGTTATGCTTTTAAAGTGATGCATGCCATAACAATCAATATGCTTACTTATTTTTTTTTTAACAGAGTATTTTCTTCACTTTTATAAGCATTGTTCATAAATACTCCATAAAGACAGCGCAAGCATAATTAGCAGTGTTTACCAACATATGCCACCCATGCTACCCTTGAATCCTTCTGATACTTTGGGACAGGGAAATAAATAGAATACGAGTAATTAGTTTTAAAGCAAAGCATTTGAAACGGAAAACTTATAGGTAAAGCCTAATGAACTGCAGAAGAGGTTTTTTAAAAAAAAAAATCTAATTTTTATATGACTTGGTAGATAGCAGAGGGAGACACAGCAATATTTTACTGCCGGGAGAATAAATTAATTAATACGTCTGTAGCAACCAACTGCAGTGGCTCCATGGTTGACTGCATTTAAACGAGATATATGTATCAAGCCTCGCTGGTGTTGTTAACAAGAGTGATAATAAAGATGAAAAGGATAGGAAAGATAAAAAGATGGGCCCGTTTGTATTCCTTGCAGGAGCTATAAGGACCTGCTTAGTTTTTTTTTTAAAGCAAAGCCTTGTTGTGTGATTACACTAACCAGCCGAATTCATGAATCAAGTCTGCTCCTTCTTAGAACAACAGCCCCAATCAGAATATGTATACGCAGCTGTCTGTCTATATAACTGCATTTGTCTGTACATTTATGCAATTACTTTAGGGGAATCTACATAAAGTTTACCCACAGAGAGGAGACACACATATTCTCTCTCTCCCTCCCTCCCTCTCTCTCTCTCTCTCCCTCCCTCTCCCTCTCTCTCTCTCTCTCTCTCTCTCTTTTTAATTTGACTTATATGCCGCCCTTCTCCGGAGACTCAGGGCGGCTTACAATGTGCTCAGCAATAGCCTTCATCCTTTTGTATATTTATACAAAGTCAGCTTATTGCCCCCACAACTGGGTCCTCAATTTACCTACCTTAGAAAGGATGGAAGGCTGAGTCAACCTTGAGCCTTGGCGAGATTCGAACCTGCAGTAATTGCAGGCAGCTGGTCTTAATAACCAGCTTAATAACAGGGTGCCTTAGACCACTGTACTACCAAGGCTCTCTCCCTCCCTCCCTCCCTCCCTCTCTCTCTCTCTCTCTCTCTCTCTCTCTCTCTCTCTCTCTCTCTCTCTCTCTCACACACACACACACACACACACACACACACACACACACACTATGTTTGACAAATTGAAAGGAATGACTTGGTCTTTTAACATCTGATTTCAGTCGGGTGGTTGTTAGCCCCATAAACCATTTATACTTACTTCTGAAGCCTACTGAGCTCACCCAGGCAAGACCTGCTGATTTCCAAGTAGCACTGCGAGACTGAAACAGGTGTTTAAATCTCTCCTCCTGAAATCAGATATTGCAGCACCACTGATTCCATTAACTCAGAAGTACATTAATATTTTAAATGGAGCTGCCCAAGTCTTCTGCTTAAAAAAATAAAACCACAGATCTGTATCTGGGAATAGGCCTGTGTGAATTTAAGGCTAATTTACTTCTCAGTAGTAGTACGGTAGTGTGTGCATAATGTTGCCTGGAGAAGTTTTCCATAATTAAGTTTTTTTTTTTAAAATCCTTTTTATAGCATGGTCAGAAGACGGAACATCTTAATGTCTTTCTAGGTTTTAAATAAAACTACCCTTTCAGTTTGTCTTTGGCTAGAATGCTGATTGTAAATATATCAAAGCAAATTATTTGCTTTTATATATATATATATATATATATATATATATATATATATATATATATATATATATATATATATATATATATATATATATATATATATATATAAATTCTCTTCTTCCCTCTCCCCACACTTAATAGAATAATATGAATGCCTTATTATACAGTATTTACAGATTTTTTAAGAATCCTAGCCAAAGTCAAAGGAGGAGGCAGAACAGCTTTAGCCGTGGTACCCAAGACTTCCTTTTATCTTCTCCAAGACACATGTTCATTGGCTAGGAGTGTATAATTTACAGGGCATGTGGAAATTCATTTCGGTGATGAAGAATAATTCATCTGTTATGAGGTTTGTGAACAGAATGATTATCATGCATCATTAGCACTATTTCATGAAAGGGAACAGGGGGAAATGAAATACTAATATTAAATAATGGCTCCAAATGCAGGCATCATCATCATTATTATTAGCATCAGGGTCTCTTTAGGAGGACATTACCTTGTGTGGCTTTCTCCCCTCCCCCCCACCCCCAAGGTGAAACAGGCAGCATATCTAAGCTGCTCAACTGCTACCTTGGCTTTCCTTCAAAATCCTCAAAGAACCAAAGTGTCTGGGTACCGTTCAAGGAGGAGATATTCCCACACTGAGCACTTGTAAAACAAAAAAATAATTATGATGGTAATGGGCACTGGTTTTTTTTTTTCTTTTCTTCCATGCCTCCATCAGCCTTAGAAACAATCAGGGGAAGAAATACTGCTTTTTTCCCCCCAATACTTGTTGCACACCAGAATGCAGGCATGTGGATTGCACTCTTGCCAATAGTGATTATTGTAAATTAAAATTAATCTCATGGCTATTGCTTTCCGAATAAAACTACTTCTGAGTCCAAAGGAAACCAAGAGGTTTGAAAGAAAGGCGGCAACTATTAGAATGTCAGGACTCTATCCATAGTTATTGGCAAAGTTTCCAACTTAATCCCCCTCGTTTTTCTCATGCATGTAAAACCTCTGTAAAATGAATGTTTTCCCAATGTGGTAGTGATGAGAGATGCTGGTCAGGAGCCCACGTTGACTAGAGACATGGAGGCAGATGACAGACACAAATAAGACTATTTATAAAACTTTAACAATCCACCCTTTCTTTCACCCTGCCTGTGTTGGCCTACCTTGTCAGGATTGCAAACACACTACTACATCTTCACTAACAGAACTCTGCTCTACCCCTATCAGTGTGCCTGAACCAATGAAGTAAAGGACACGATCCAGCCCAAGCAAAAAGGCATTGAAGTCCCATGGAAATGAGTGTGTAGATCTCTCTACACCAGCAAAGGAGACGGATGTTACAGTACTGCCTTTTTGTGGGCTTTCCCCTCCCTAAGTTCCCTTCCTGACATCAGAGAAAGAAATCTTACTGATTTTTTTTTTTTTAATTTTGAGATAGCCTCACTTCACCTTGACCAAGACATGGACCTCCCAGCCTTCCCTATTCATTGAAACAGAGGAGAGTGTCTTTAAATAAATATTGCATACCAATAAATCTAACACCTCCCCATGTCCCCCCCCCCTCCTTTCCTTCTCTCTAATGGGAGAGAGAACATTTTTCTCTGTGGGTGTCTGGCATATGTTTGTGGGTGGGTGTAAGTGTGTATTTGTCATGTGTGCCAGGCATTCAGGGATACAGTAAACAGACCATTCCTATGCTACTTTCTCTCACACACAAACAAATGTGGAACAGTCCTCATTACTGAATCCCTTCCACATTCAATGTGTAATAAAGTGAACTTAATCTTATTCTCTGATTAGTTGCAAACTTTAACCACAGCTGTGAAGTAATTGAGGAAGGAAGGAAGGAAGGAAGGAAGGAAGGAAGGAAGGAAGGAAGGAAGGAAGGAAGGAAGAGGTGCCTGTTTCTTTTTCTTTGTTTTGGTATCAATTTGGCTTAAATTCACAAAACCTTCTGTTGGTTATCACATTAACCTTTTTTCCCCCCAGCCTCTGGTGCTGAAACTAGTATGAAAGCTTCCCACACTCCTGATGAAGGGACATGCAACTATTTGAGGGCTGAACTAAAAGAAGTGGCTCCCTCCCTCCCTCCTTGCAGCTCAACAGCCCCCCTACACACACTACTTCAAGGCCACATTCAACAACAAGAGTCCCCGGGGATTGGATCAACCAGGCCAAGTACTGGAGGGCCCTTCTGAATAGGCTTTTAATAAAGAAGCGGGCTGGCTTCCATGCCCCTCTTTCTTTTCTCCCTCCCACCCTCCCTCCCTCCCTGTCTCTCCCTCCCTCCCTGTCTCTCCCATTCATCTTCCCCTGCTGGAGTTTAGAGAAAACGTTAACTCTCTTGCTGCAGTTTACAAATCATCAAAGGTATTGGCAGTTTTGGTGGCCTACTCCTTCCCTCCCTCCCTCCCTCTCCCTCTCCCTCTCCCTCTCTTTTCCTTCCTTCCTTCCTCCTTCCTTCCTTCCCTCCCTTTTTGCCAGGCGGCTTCTGTTTACAACTGTCTGTCTCAGTGGGCGGGGGCCGCCATTACAAAGTGAAGGTCAAGTTAGCATCCTACCTTATATGGTAGACGGCGCTCCTCCATTTTCAGGGATTTGTCACAACTGCCCCCTTGCCTTTCTTACTGGAGTAAACATATGGGCTCCCTCTTCCTCGCTCTCTTTTCTTCCTTGGTTTTTTTGTTTTTTTTCCTTTCCCCTTTTCTTTCTGTGACATTCGAAGTCGCAGCGAACAAGAGGAAAGCCAGGGGAAGGAGGGAGTGGGGGGGGGGGGGGCGAGAGAGAGAACCTTTTCTGGGGACCAAAACCCCGGATCTCTTCAGGAGGACGGCGGCTCCGAAAGTTTCTTCCCCCCCCCTTTCTCTGGCCCCGTCCTTCTTGGATTGCAGACTTTGAAAACAAGCCGCCTTCCACCGAGATGCAAGCACCTCTGTCTGCCTGGGAGGAAAATCCAGCTTCATAAAGAAGAGCCCCGGGAGGGTTTAATAATGCCTCCCCCCGTTGTGGCGTTTCTTCCCGACCGCTCGGTAAGCAGAGGGACAAATGCAATAGGCGGGGAAGGTTTGGGCGTAGAGGGGGTGGGGGGGAGAGAGTGAGTCAGTCGGGACTTAGTTTTCCATCTTGCAAAAGTCCAAGGCAGCGCTGGGGAGGGGTGGGGGGTGGAGAGAGAGAGAGAGAGAGACAGGAGATTAGGAAGCGGGCCTGGGAGGTGGAGGTGGAGCTGGAGGTGGAGGGGGCCCCGAGAATCACTGAAGTTTTGAACCTGCGTGTGCACCTTCAAAGACTCCCTGTAAACGCGCGCGCGTGTGGAAACCCGGTGCACACGTACACTACCGTTCTACTTCTCCCGAGACAAAGGCCTCCTCCTAACAGGGAGACCTGCCAAAGATTCGGGGTCGCGAAAGCAGGGTTATTGGGTTTTTTTTAATATTTAGGTTGAATCAGGAAGGTAACACCGAGTCTGAAGTAGGGGTGTACTTTGGGGTGGCGGGGGGGAGCGGCCTAGAGGGAGAAAGAAAGGGGGAAAGAGCGGCAGCGAGAGGAGCACGGTGTAAATTGCGTGAACGAGCCAGCGGCCCGGTTTTTTTTCTTCTTCTTCTCTCTCTCTCTCTCTCTCCAAAGAGCGCGCTTTTTCCCACCCACCCCCTCTCCTCTCTTCCCAGCGGCGAGCTGTTCTCCGCGTGTGAAAGATAACTTGGGTTTTTACCTTCCTCTCGAGGAAACAATATGACCCTTTATGAAATATTGGCAGCAGCCACTTGGCCAACAAAAGAGGCCCGATTTAATCTATTACAGCCCCCGAGGCCATCCCATAATTTAAATTCTTCCTCTGTTCCTTCCTTGTCTTCTGTCTTGGTTTCCAAGAGGCAGAAAGCATGAGAGTTACTCAGACAATTGCTGGAGAACTCCTTGCGGTATCGGTGATAATTTATCAATAATAATAATAATAATACTGCTTTACTGGGCACAGCTTACATCCTGCGAGGAAACATTTAACATCATCAAACATAAAAAATGGCCTATCTTGGCTCCTTGGGAAGGACTAGATAGGTTGGTAAAAATACCAAAATCTAGTCTAAACATCTGGCTGACTATGTGACCAAACCATAATAATTCCAAACCTCAGAACACATATAAATTTCCTTAAATCTTGGAGCTCCTTATGCTGTATTTCCTCAGAACCAAAGTTCAGAAAGTCCTCTTTTTTTTTTCTTTTTTTTTTTTGGCCACATCCCAAAGTCCCAGAAAAGAAAGAACAAGGTTTTGTGGCATTTTGGTTAGTTTTAAATGAAGGGCTTGGCCTGTTTGGGTTTTCCTGATGAACCAACCCATCATTAAAAAAAAAAAAAAGAGTCTGGTATGCAATAAATGGAAGTTTATTTAGCCATGGTTATCATTAGTTCAGTATGCCCCATTTGTGCTATAGAGGAGAAGAACAAGTTTGGGTGGTTTGGTTCACCAAAAAAATCTATGGTTGGGCAAGGATGGAGAGCTGGCATGGGTATTCTTTTCTGGATGAGTGAGGAGAAATCACAACCCACCATGCCAATTCGGTGAGTGACAGCTTTCAAAAGCACATTTAATCTATGCAGTGTGTGTGTGTGTGTGTTTCTGGTATCTTGCTTAGATTCAGGCCAGATGTGCATTGCAAGTTTCATCAGCCCCGCACCACCACCGCCCCCTACACTTCTTCCCATTTTGTGTTTCCGGTTTGGTTTCATCTTGGTTAGTTTGGAAACACCTCGCAAAGCAAGGACTTTTTTTCCCTGTTAGTCCTGCCAAGCAGATGAGAAAAGGGGGGGGGGAAAGGAAGGTAGGTTATAATAGATGATGATGGATGGATGGATGGATGGATGGATGGATAGATAGATAGATAGATAGATAGATAGATAGATAGATAGATGATAGATAGATAGATAGATAGATAGATAGATGATAGATAATTGACAGACAGACAGACATAATAAAAAAAATAAAATCTTTTTTTCTCATCCTCCTTGTGTGATCTGACCTCTTGTCGCCTCTATTCTACCTGTTAACACAAAGTTAATACAAAGATCTAAACTCCAAAGGCCTTACTTTTTTTTAGAGTTTTGACTTTAGTCTGTTAGCATTTAAAAGTAGGCAAAAGAGGAAAGAAAGAAGAAGAAAGCAAGGAGGTATATACAGCTGTAGATACTGCTTTTCGGTAATTACATGTGGGTCTTTACATTTGCAAACTTCTAGGTTAATCAGCTCCAGCCTTCAAACAAGATTGTTCCACATCCAAAAGTGGAAAAATAAGCTTGAAGAAGTTGCTCCGTTGAACCTGGCAGAGGCTGGCAGGCAAATAGACTGATTGACTGTGTGGGTGCATAGTTAATTATTGAAAGGGGTGTAGGGATTCATTAAGATAGATTGATAGGTGGCAGTATTTAAAATGGAATGCATAAATCAGGACATTAAGGTCTAGTATAAATAAATAACCAATTCTGCTGTCTTAAAAAAAAAACAAACTCAACTTTGCTCCCATCCTGACCAAATCATTGGCGGTGATCTGAAATATTGGCTGGTGGTATGTTTTTGTCTGTTATCATTTGAAGGGATGGGCATATAGAAAAATATGTTTAAGCTCCTTTCTTAAGCTCCCACGCCGGAGCCCCGTACTTTTTTCTTCTTTTTAAAAAAAAAAACACTGGCAAAGTGTTTCTTAGAAGGAGAAGATTTCTTCCTTAGAAGGTTTTGTGACATCTTCCAAGATATGGTAATTATTAAATAATTGGCTGGATTAATCCAATCCCTCTTTTCCCTTCCTGCCCCTACCTATAGACCTCCGCTTACAAATATTGAAGAATATATTTGGTAGGGTAGTTTGGAACCGCCATTCTTTAGAAGGCCTCTCAGAAGTTACATTATGTCCCACTAAACAATAACAACCCTCCCAAATGTTTAAACATCTTGGGGGTGGGTGGGAGAGAAAATAAATCCTTTAATTTAACTTGTTCTTCAGCTGCCCCACTTTCTCCTGACACACCAGAGCAGTAGCCATGAAGCTTCAGTCCTTCTTCAAAATAGGTCCGCGTGTACACAGACTGGGGGGGGGCGGGCGGGGGCGGGATATAATATGCACACTTCGGGGAGAACGAGCCAGTACACGCTGTGCGCACGCGCACATGGCCCCATGCAAACAAAGAGACGGATATTTCGCAGGAATGAAATAATGTCAAATAAATAAATAAATAAATAAAATTTAAAAAACAATATCTCCAAACCGGTTTCTGGATTTGCAAGAGTGTCACTTTTTCACTCTTTCGGGCATTCTTTTTCGTTGGGCTATACAGTAAACGCGGGTTGATTCTAACACTGCGGATCCTACGTTGTGCACGAGAGGGGGGGGGTGCCCAAGGGGGGGGGGAGAAAAGGAGAAGCCAGTGGAGAGTTTTAGCGTTTTTAACCCTATTAAAAAAAAAAAAAAACCCGAGATTTTACTTCCATCGTGTTAAGTCAAATGAAAACAGAGTTGCCTGTGGACAAAAACAAAAAAAGAAAAAGAAAATCAAAGCAGCATACAAATGAAGGGATGGGTAAATGTTTGTGGGTATCACTCTCTCTACCCAGAGAAAGTTCTAGAATGCATAAAGATGTAAATAAAGGGAGGGGTGGTTAGTTTTACCACCACGCCCAACCCCAAAGAATATATTTGCGATGAAGATTTTGGTTAAATTTCGTATTAGCAGCAGCAACTTTTCTCTCTCTCACACACACACACACACATACACACTCCTGCAAAGAAAATAAGTCTTAATGAAAAGGCTGCTCAGGCCAGGATATTTGCTGAGAAACTAACTTGAAAGAGATTTCAACAAGAGCCTGGTTGAGACCCTAAAGCAAGTTGACTGTATATGCAAGTTTTTTGTTTTTGTTTTTTGCATATACAAAGTTTCTTTGTGCCTGTTGTACAAATATGATTTCGCATGCTGGCTGGTTTGGAAAGGTTTGACTAGAGAACACGCTCTTCAACCATTTCACCTCATTCCTCTTCTTCTTTTTTTTTCCTTCCCCCCCCCCATAAACCACTAACCAAATCAACTCAAATCAAATCAAACTTTTATTGTCAATGCACAACATGTGTACAATGGAACTGAATGAGCCTCCCTTGGTGCAGGTCCCTCGCTCCCCCCTCCCCCAAACACAGAATACATCACAACAACTCAATAAAAAGAAAAAAGAAAAAGAAATCCCTAAACTCAAATAAGTAATAACTAGCACACATTCCCAATATACATATATGTATATATTATATTATGTTATACCGGGGTTACGAACGTGTTGCACGTCTGCGCTAACCCGATTATTATTATTTTTTTAAGTGATGCTCTGTACCCTGAAAATAGATTTCATGGGTGAATGAATAGGTCTCCTTTGACTTGCTTACAAGATGAATTGTTGACAAATTCCAGTGGATGTGGCTTTGCAGCATATTTGAGGCTCTGTTTGTGCATGCGTGTGTGTGTGTGTGTGTGTGTGTGTGTGTGTATGCGTGGCATACATTAAATGGCCCCCCCCTGGTCCTCACTAGTTCTTAGTTCAACTCAGAGCCTGCTCTTCCACCTACCCTAGTTAGCAGGCGGCTGGAACGTTAGGGTTACTTATTGAGGAAGTTACACGTGCCCTGTGGTTTTTAACATTCTAAGCAAAGCTGTATCAAAGTGAGGGGTTTTTTTTCTTTTTTTGTATTGCCATATCTGCATTGGAATCCACGGAAGAGGGTGGGGGAACCACACACACACAGAGGATCCGAGGGGACAAGACAACCCCGAGTTTCTTACCCATCCCGGGACTCCATTTGCTCTTGACCCGATCACAACCAGCCGTCTGCATGCATTCATACTAGGGCTGTTAAGTGAGCATCTTCCTTTCCACTACCCAGCCTCTCCCTCCCTCCCTCCCTCCCTCCCGGTCCCTCAACCCTGCTCAGTGTGGGCTTTGCGTGTGGGATGCTGCTTATCAGCTTTTATCTTTATTGGGTCCACATGATTTTGAACTTGCAATCCAGCCTCTCTGAAAGAGCTCGGCCTGCCTCTCGCCTTCTATCTTGGAACCGTATGCTGCTTATGAAGTCATCTTTAGTAGGCTGGCTCCCATCCAATTAAATTTATCTTTGACATTGGAGGGCAATAATATTTTCCAACAGCTTCCTTCTTGTAGCTATTGTCTTCTGGTCCTCGATTCCTTAACTGTACGGCTTCGCTAGTCTTTCCTTTTAATGCCCGCAAGGTTTGCAATTTGATTTAAATACTTGGATTTTTTTTTTCATTTTTTTTTTGTTTTTCCCCTCCTTGGGAAGTAATTACTCTGTTGCTGCGCCAAAACTGCAACATAAAAGAAAAGCAATCAAATGCCAGGCTGTGATTCCAAACTCATTTATTTGCAAGCCTCTTCCACTGAAATCATTGGGCCTTAGTTCAAGGCGCAACTGTGAGATATGTAGTTCATAAAGGCGTCCGAAAATGAGGGAAATTATTTGGCCTGATACAAGGCAGGAGAAAATAGCTGCTTAACGCAAGCTGAGCGGTGCCGGTTCCCAAATTATTACAATGATTATTTGTCGACATAATCATCTGAGTTATCTAAAGCAAAAGGAAGTGTGTTCAGAGTAGTATCTAGCATTCTCTTGGAAAAAGCCTGCAAGTGGTTTTTTTTTTAATGCTGAAAAGGCAAGCGCTATTTTCTTTTCTTTTCTTTTTTTCCCCCTTCTCTCCTGATTTCTCCTTTTAAAAGCACTCTGCCTTGCACTGCTTGAAAGCTTGTGATTAATATGCTTGGAGAGGTGACTGGACCACAATCAGTTTAATGGATAACATTTAAGGTGCCTTTTCCAAAACAGACTCCATACCGCATTTGCTAATATCAACCAAAGAACTCTGGAGGAAAAAAAAAATTGTTATCAGATTGGAGTGGGAAGTTAATAAAAATAGGTACAGGAGAACATGAATTTATTTATTTTTCTCGCTATCCTGGAGAGACCCATTTACTGGCAGCACGTGTTTCTAGCTCCTATACAAATTCATCCTCTGCGTGTTATAAGGGTCAGACTCAACTTCCTTTAACATATACAAACAACCCCAGAACTCAAGTCTGGCCATTCAGCCTGCTGCAAGGAAAATGGGGCCTTGCTTCTTTGAAGGCTGATATTTGTGAGAAAGAAGGAAAAAGAAAGAAAGAAAGAAAGAAAGAAAGAAAGAAAGAAAGAAAGAAAGAAAGAAAGAAAGAAAGAAAGAAAGAAAGAAAGAAAAAGAGAAAGTTTCCTAGAAAGTCTTGTCCAAGCTGAACTATCTCACTCATGTGTCTTTAAAAATAATTTCAAAATAAAATAAAAAAAACCGCTAGCATGTGTTTAAGCAGGCTCATCCTTAGGTCAGAAAATGAATTGGCAGGAGAGGATGGAAATGTACCCTTGTATTAACATAGCAATTTCATGCAATGCAATATTGAAAGAGCCATAAACAACCAGCTGGCTGTAGATATACACATTTAATTGCATACACGAAGCCTGGCTTGAAAAATGACAAAATTGCTTTCTCTTTTTTATTCCACCCACCCTCCTTCCTTCCTTCCTTCCTTCCTTCCTTCCTTCCTTCCTTCCTTCCTTCCTTCCTTCCTTCCTTCCTTCCTTCCTTCCTTCCTTCCTTCCTTCCTTTTCTTCCTCCCATTTTGCATCAGGCTGTCCTTTATTTCTTAACAATTAAAAAAAAAGGGTCCTAAAATGGTTTGTAAAAAGTTGGGTCGGCTGCAAAGATAAAATCTCTCAAGGATGAAAGCATTTCAGCGGACCTTGCAGTTTATTCGCCATATATATATATTTGTGTGCGTTGGGCCTTTTTTTTCCCCTCCTTTTTTTTCTTCTCTTTTCTTTTTTCTTTTCTTTTCTTTTCTTTTTTTTTTTTAAGTGGAAACCAAAAGGAATGTGAGACTTCCAGCCTTCATTCTTCTGTTTTATGGTAGTCAGGGAATTGACTTTGCTGGTTCAAATTCAAGGGCTCCACAGCTGTCTTCTCCGTGTTTCTTCGCAGGAAGCCGACAAATCCTATACTTTAAACCGGGCATTAAAGCAGGCCACAGCGCTGGGCTTGTTCAAACTTATATCTACCTATTAAGAGCAGTAAATTACCCACACACCTAGAGGAAAGAGCCTCAGACATTACGCCCCACATACTTTTAGCCACAAACCTTTAGATCTCTTCTGTTCACCACCACCAAAAGAGTTGAATAAAATGGGGAAGTAATTCTACCCCAAGTACAAAACTGAGGAGGGGGAGAAAGGGGGTCTGGTCCAACGCACACTGCCTTTGGATCAGATGTAGAATGGAGCATCTTTCCCAGTCAGCCTTACTGAAAATATCATCGCCCTGCCGGGGCAGGTTTCGGAGTGTTAGAGGGGGTGGGGGTTGAGGAAGGCATGAATGGATGAGGGATAATAAGCCTTGTAAACAATACCTTTAATAGTGTGCTGTACGTATGAATATTACTCTATAAAAGACAAGGGGAAGGCTCCCTGATGCTTTAATGGACAGCTGGGAGAGACCAAAAGAAGTCTCCCAACTCCTCAAAGTAAGGCTTAAGAAATGGAGATTGGCATCAATGGCCAAACACAGGACGTCCTTTACATCCTGGCACAGGGGTGCCCTCATAATATGACAGGGGAACGTGGATGTGTCTGGAGCGATTTAGAAAATTACTTATCCAGAGGAAGAAGTTTGTAAAACAGCCCAAACACTAAAATCGTACCTGGAGTGAGGGCAGCATTGTAGGCAAGTTTTAATCTTTTGCCTTACGAAATGCTGCAGACACACACACACACACACACACACACACACACTTGACTTTCCTCCAGCTTATCTTGAAAGGTCCCTAATAAAGTATGTGGTGGCACGCTTTCCGGACAGGCACATTTTATTCAAAATAGCTATCAGATTCCTGATTTTTGACTGCCATAAAACTAATAGGGGACCTCCTCCTTTTACAACATCAATGAAGGCTCCGAATTGAAAAAGGCTGCCAGTGGTGCCATCTTGGCTTTAGATGGCATGCCTCAATGCCAGGTGTGCCATCCTGGGAAGGATTCTTCAGTCCACATCCCGTGTCCTCCCCCCTTCTTACCACCACTGCTACCACCCCTCACATTAACAAGGTTTTGGTCTTTTATGAGACATGGTCCATCAAGCTGATCTCTTTCTTGTTGTAAAGTAGTTTGCTTATTAACTGCAGTTCCGTTTGGCTCTATGCTGAAACCTTCCCAGAAAAAATACTCCTGCAAACCAGGTTTGCCTTGCCAACTAGCCCTTATCTGTTGCTTTGAAAGACAAGAAAGGTCATCCTAATCAAAATACATCATTGAAAATAAACCAGAAGGGTAAATCAGGCCATCTTTGTCTTTTTCTAGTCTCCTTGTTAGAAGTGCATTTTAAAAGATTCACACCAGCCTGTCTTCCATAGAGGAAAAATTTCCTTGCCAACAGTGCACAGACAACATTCTTAATGTATTATTTTGTAAACCGGCTACTACAATTCTGGATTTTCCCATTTCTTCCTGTGACTTTAGTTTCCTACAACACGTATGGACAGGATAAAACTACTAAAGTCATTTTACTCTTCTGATACTGAGTGAATTTTCTTATGGGGCTTTTAAACTGTCCAAAAGTGGAGCCAGTGACGGCAATAAAGGCAGGAGGATTTTATCTAAACAAAGTAAAATTGTAGGTGATTCCCTCCTCCCAACCCATCTCACTTCCCAACGGTGGAACAGACTGAAAGAACAGAATGGAGCAAACAGAATCAGCAAGAAGTAAATTAAAGAGGACAAACATAAAACTTGGGAGGGGAGGAGAAAGGGAGGAAATAACAAAGAGGCAAGAGAATATTAGACAGCTCTGCTCTTTCTATTAAACAAATGTAGCCTGCAGTTTTGACAATACCTAAATATATATATTCTTCATTTTACTTTAAGCAGCAAATCAAGTCCACGTTCATTTAAAAAAAAAAAAAACATCTCTTTTGGATGCTTTTATGGATATATGAGTCACCTCATCCAACTGCCCATATGTTTTATATATCTTTTATCATAGTTTCCTGAATTAATATTGGGGGAAGGGAACTATTGTTTGAAAGTCACTGGAAATGTCAATAACGGCACTGGCTTCCCAAATATATCTTCTTTCAGCTTTAAATCGTGGTGTGATACAAAATGAGAAGAAAAATATCCAAAGGAGGGGTACAAGGACAAATGACTTTAATAAAACTCCTTAATTTCTATCACACATCCCTCTCCCCCAACTTAGCTGACCAAATAAATTTACAAGACACGGTGAACATATATTGATTGACAATAAACACTTGCATTAAATATTCACTCTACTTCTCTTACCTGATAAATATTTAACCAAACATTTTTTTAAAAAAAATACAGGCTTCTGATCCTTTATCAGTCCTCATTTTAAATAATCGGTTCTTCATTTTGAGCTGGCCTCTTTCATACTGGGCTTACTTTACTCTTTCATCTAGGCCTCACCAGATTCCAGTTTTGGATTTCCATCTCTGGCAAAAGTTTTAAAGTTTACACCACCACTCCACCACTCCCCTCCGGCTGCCAAAGGATATTTCCTCACGGTTTCTGCCTACCTGAGATGCTGCTAGAGCAACCAGGCGATCCATCAGTGGGGAAGGCCAGGGGCTAATTGCTCCCTCCTTTCTCTCTGTCCCCCTACCCTCCTGGGCAAGATGCACAGCGAATGTGGCTGCAAGCCTCGCTCCCAAATGGAGACCTTGAGAAATATTTGAAAAACTTACTGAAGAATCTTTATCCTCTCCTCTGAGCTTCTAGTAATTCAATCTCCATTAAAGGGGGAAAGGAAAAGGGGGGGGAGAGAGATAATCCAGCACTTAAAATATGACTAGCATGGGAAAGGAACACACATGCGGGGGGAGATTACAGTTAAAGCCTTGGATAGACCCTCCCACCCCCCCTCACTCCCACGCAGCTACCCCACATCGGAATCCCCCACCCGAACCCCTGAAAGCCAAACCCAAAAGGGGAGAGGAAGAGGAAGAGAGAACTTCCTAAAGCCATCCCTTGACGTCTGCTCTGAATGCTGACAAGGGGTGTGTTGCCTGGCAGACCGCGGAGACAAATTCCGCGATTGATTTTCATAATGTTTCTGCGGTGTTTGAAAACCAATCGTTTGAACCTCTGAGATCTTTACCTAAGTGAACCACTCCTACGCTTCCAAGTGCTTCACAAACTGATATATGGCAATATCTACTTTGGATCACGTGTCCCGGAGAGCGCGACTAAGACGGATAGCGCGTCATCTCGCCTTCCCAAATTTTTCCCCCTCTGCACCTCGGATCCCCAACCTCTATCTATAGGAGCGAGAAAAGGAGAAAGATGTTTAACTCGGTCAACCTCGGGAACTTCTGCTCCCAGTCGCGCAAGGAGCGGAGCGGCGACTTCGGGGAGCGAGCAGGTTGCGCTTCTAACCTCTACCTCCCCAGCTGCACCTATTACGTCCCCGAATTTTCCACCGTGTCATCCTTCCTGCCCCAGGCCCCGTCTCGCCAGATCTCCTACCCTTACTCCGCCAACCTCTCCCAAGTGCAGCCCGTGCGCGAGGTCTCCTACGGGCTGGACCCCTCGAATAAATGGCACCCTAGGAGCGGTTACGCCTCGTGTTACTCCGCCGAGGAGCTGATGCACCGGGACTGCCTCCCGCCGGCCACCATGACCGAGATGCTGATGAAAAACGAGAGCGCCTACAGCCACCACCACCCCCCCAGCGGCAACCCCCCGCCGCCCACCGGCTTCTACTCCGGCGTGAACAAAAACAGCGTCCTGCCGCAGGGCTTCGACCGCTTTTTCGAGAACGCCTATTGCGCGGCCGACAACCCGCTCGAGGGCTGCCCGCAGAAGGCGCAGAGCAAGCTGGAGAGCGACCCCGCCGCCGCCGCCGCCGCCGCCGCCGCCGAGCCCACCGCCCTGTCATCCCGCGGCGAGCAGGGCGTCGACCCGGAAGACGAGGAGGAAAACACCAACCCGGCTTCTTCAACCTCGTCTTCCTCGGCCAACAAGGACGCCGGCAAAGCCAGCAGCGCCAGTAGGTAGCGCGGGAGCGGAGCGAGCGCCGCGGCCGTAAAAACGGGAAAGGTGAAGGGAACTAGCCCCGCTGTTTTCTGTCGGCCAGGTTTTTTATGTGGACTTTTTATAAGCATTCAAAGGGGTTTTATGATAAGCTGCAAAGCTGGGTCTTGCAACGGGAGGAATGTTTACGAGGGGAAAACGGCTTCTGGAAGAGAGAGAGGGAGACGGGGGGCGAAAGACCCAGGCTCTCTCCCCCACCCCCCACCCCCACCCCCAGTCGGGGAAATTTGAAAAGCCCACCGGGGTGACAAATATTAACTTTGATCGTGAACTTATGGGGATCGTTTTCACGGGATTTGAGGCCAGGCTTTAGAGAGGGGGGGGGGGGTTAGAAGTAAGAGTTTCCTTTCCTCCCGAAAGGCGCAGGCGGGGTAAGCGGTGGGCGAGATGATGATGATGATGATTATAATTATGTTTTTTTTATATAAAAAAAATACACGTGTGTTCTGTATGTGTGTATAAACACAGGGAAGAGCAACACCTTCACGTCCCGAGCACAAAGTTAGGCTTGCTTTGCTTGCCAGATGTCATTGATCTTTCTCGAAACCCCGGCTAAACTCCCTCTTTTTTTTTCATTTCTTTATGCAGTTTTACTTTGTTGCTAAAAGTACTTTGCTGACATCTGAAATCACACACAGACACGCTCGCGCGGCGTTCCCCCCCCCCAACAAAACAAAACAAAACAAAACAAAACACAGACAGGACATCTCAGAGACTGTACACGCCCCCCCCCCATCCCACCAACCACCACCCTCGCATAAAGCATACATTTATGGTTCTTCTTTGAAAAACGTGGATCGAAGCAATTGATCAGACATGTGTCCTTACCGCCATCGATTTTCATTCATAACAACTGAATGGGACGGTAAAATATTGTAGGGGCTGCCTGCCGCGCGTCCAGGTTTTTATTTGCCACTCGAGTGCCTGGATGGGGGGGGGGAAGTGTTTCCTTTCTCCCCTGTTTCTTGGGCGGGGATTCGGTTTTAAGATCTGTGGCTTTGATTTTCTTTGTGCGTGAAAAACGTGTGTGTGGAGGGGTTAATCAGAAACATAAGCAGAGAGCCTGCCTTGTCTACTTCTGCTCCACTCGGAGTCGGGCTGGTCCTGAACAGGGCAAGACTAAGGGGAAAAAAAGAAGAAGAAGGAAATAAAGTCTATTTCCCAGCAGTATTGCAGACGCCTGAACTCTTTCTTGGCTCTTATTCCGAGGGCCGAGAAGCCCAGGGTGGCAAATTGTTTTAGGTTTAAAAAACTGAGCGGGAAAAATTACCCACATGGTTGTAATATGTTGCAGACGTTTTGTTGGCAGAAGCGTGTGTGTTTGTGTGTGTGGACTGTGGAAGGACTCGTGTGCAAGTGAGCTCTTGTTTGGGGGGGGCGGTATGGGGTGAGTGGGGGGGGAGAGAAAGGTTAGGATTTTGCAGGATACTTTGTTGTAGCTGCTTTTCCTGCCTTCTGGTGGTATTTTCTCTCTCGCTTTCTTTTCTCCCTCTAAGGTGCCCCCCGTACGAGGAAGAAGAGATGTCCCTATTCGAAATTCCAGATCAGAGAGCTGGAAAGGGAATTTTTCTTCAACGTCTACATCAACAAAGAGAAAAGGCTGCAACTGTCTCGGATGTTGAATCTCACGGATCGACAGGTTAAAATTTGGTTTCAAAACAGACGGATGAAAGAAAAAAAACTCAGCAGAGACCGCCTGCAGTATTTCTCGGGAAATCCCTTATTGTGAACTTTCTTTTTATTTTATTACCCTTTTGTAAACAAAAATTAAAAAAACAAACAAAAAAACAAACAAAAAAACAAAAACAAACCACAACCACCCCTCTGCTCGTTGAAGTATTCTGTGTATGAAGAAGAAACAATGTTGCAAAGTACGGTTTGACTTGACAGCGGAGCCTGGAAACAACCCCTGAGTTTTAAAAAAAAATTTCCCCCTTCCTTAGATTTGTATTTTGGGGGACAGTTTGGGACATGATTTTTTTTTTTTAAAAAAGTCTTGTATAGCCCCTTCTACCTTTCCCTAAACCTTGAAGAAGACTGACTATTTCTATGAACTTCTAATGAAATGTTTCCTTCTGAAGAATGGGAATCCGATTCGTCCTCGTCGTCGTCGTTGTTGTTATTATTATTATTGTTCTCCTTTCTCATCACCATCCTTCAGATCTCTCATCTTCTCCATCCTTTGGAAGAACCTACTGAGTTCTTGTTCCGAAAATGCTTTGTGATGGCCCTGATTTCTGATATGCAGGTTATTGACGCTGTGCTTTCTCAAAACATCTCCTTACCCAAAGAATTTCAGTCTTCAGCTGGGAGGAAGGCTCCGTAGGAGTGTGCTTGGATAGGTGTGTGTGTGTGTGGGTAGGTGAGCGAGCGTGGTGAGTGCGCAGGTAAGCGTGCATGGGTGTAGATGACTAGATGACACCAACACAACCAACACCCCCGTCCCGCCATGCAGACACACACACACACACACACACACCCCTCTTCATCGGGGCTTCCATTGCTGAACAGGCCTTGCTGCTTGAAAACTGATTTAAATCTCCTTTCTGAGAATGGGCGTCACTATAATAGTCTAAGTTCCATTGATTCCCTCATAGACCTGTGATATATACATACCGAGGCAGCCCCGGGTTGAGTTTTCTCCTCCATCCCGTTTCTACATCTGGGGTCAGGGTGGGGGGGTGGGGGGTGGGGTGGACCGGGAGGAAGTGGAATGGACTACAATAAATTTGCAATAACTGTCTCTTAAATAGTGTGTAAATGCATTTCCCTCCCTCCCCTGGACATGAGAGACCAGCAAACAGCAACAAGGACAAGAACAGCTCCAGCAACCGGCTCCAGCAACCGGCAGTTATAAATAAATCTTGGTTGTATGTAAAGAACGGAATCCAGGGCAACTCTGTGAAATTCTATGGCAAATAAAGAGATTTCAAGCTGTTCTATATTATGATTTTATTTGACCATTTTATTAGTATTTCCCTCTTAAAAAGACAAACTGCAGTCAGTGTGGTGTGGACTTTCCTGCAAGACTTTTCAATGCCAGAGCAGAAAGGAGGCCATGTGCGGTATGAGCGCCTGGATATCTGTGCGACAGAGAAAGATTTGTGCAAATTAAATCCCCATTTGTGTGTGTGTGTGTTTGCATATATACAAATGTATCGAACATAAGAGAGAAACATCCTGCATGGGATATACTCCCATTAATATGAACCTTCTGTGTTTAAGTAGACATTTGTAATAGGGTTCATCGTTTTTTCATCGCTGCATTTACATTTATAGACGTTTCTTGGCCCAGGAATACGGGGCCTCGCTATGTTTGGCTCCAGATGTCTTTGTTTCTCCCATCTAGTAATGTTTTTGTTTCTTTATTTCTCTCTCCCCACCCCTTTTTTTCCCCTCTCCCCACCTCTGCAGCAATGATACGTTACAATATGCTGAAATGGTGGTTAATGAGCAATATTGCAATATTTCCCGCCCCAAAATGTCATTACGGGGCGACGAATGCTTAAGGAGCGCATTTCTGTCTGCCCCGACAAAGAAGTCGAAATTCTCCTTAATGTCAAGGATAAAGTACCTCGCCCCCTCCTTTCCACCCCCTTTCCCCTTGTGCTAGGCGCAAATACAAAGTCAAGTACTTAATTCCTTCTCTTAAGCAAAACAAGTTCAACCTCAGGACGTGGGACAGAAGTGCAATTTTATGTTTGCATGTCAATAAGCCCCCCCTCCCGCCCTTTCTCAGAGAGCCTCAATTTGCTAAAATAAATAAGAAGAAAGTGTCTAACTAGTTTTTAATGCACGTTTTAATTATGCAGATGTGGGGAGTATCACAAACAGGGAGGGAGGAAAAAGGAAGGAAGGAGCCTAATATTTCTCAATGTGTAGCCCTACATTTGACACTGCACCTTGGCCAATCCTTCCTTATATAATTTTCCTTCGGTTCCTGAAAGTATGCAGCCTCTGGATAAAGGGACAACTGAGCTCAAAATAGGTTTTCTCACACAGTGGCTGATAAACTGTTAACACAGATTATATTCCATTAAAATACTTCGAAGGGACCTTTTGGGTTTTATCAAACTATGGTTACATCCACAAGTATATGCTCAGGTTTAAAATGGGTGAGAAACTTCAGTCTGCTTGTTAGATCCATTTCCAATTTCATCATGAAGCAAGGATGGATTGCCTGAACAGAAATGTTTTCTATTAGATGAGGTAAGGATTGCCTCTGTCTCTATCTCTCTATCTCTGTCTATCTGCCTGCCTGTCTGCCTGCCTGCCTGCCTGTCTATCATCTATTTTGCTCACAAAAATACTGGGTGGGAATTTTTCTGCCTCCCGCTCTCTCTATTCGGTTTGGGATCCTCTTCTTTCCAGCCCACCCTTGAGCCCCCAACGCCAAAGTAACAAACTTCCTCAAAGATTCAGAAAGTCTGTGCACATGCTTAATATAAAGATGTCGTATGGATGATTATTTCACAAACTAGCCAAAACATACTGAAAGGCGGATGAAGTCCAGGTTATAAAACTGAAGTGGGGGGAGGTGGTACGACTGGGAGGGGGGAGAGACAGGGAGGGAAGAGAAAGAAAGAAAGAAAGAAAGAAAGAAAGAAAGAAAGAAAGAAAGAAAGAAAGAAAGAAAGAAAGAAAGAAAGAAAGAAAGAAAGCCCGATAACTGAGAAAACAAAATGGCGCGCCATTTCAAGATGCTCTTTTTCCTTTTCCAAAGAGGCGGCTGAGAAACCTTTCCAAGGTTAAGGAAAACTTTCAGCCAAGGTGCAATAAGGCGCATCTCCCCCAGTCCCAAAGTCCAGTCAAGATACCTTCACAGCGGCGGTTTTGTCTGGACAAAGGAGGCGACTAGTCTAGACATTGTAATAAAGCCTGCAGCCCTAAACAGCTTACTTCTCCTTAATGACCACCGTCTGGCCATAGAAAAAGACTTCCGCAGTAAATAGTAAACAAATAAGGGTGCCTTTGCTGAGCCTTTCTCCAGCTTCCTCCCCCCCCCTCCCCAACCCTTGCCCCCGCACACACACGCTCTCATTCCAACCTCTCCCCCTTCCTCCTCCCCCCCCTCCTCTCCCACATCTTTTTGCCAGGGCTGCGACACAATGAAACTGGAGGCCTAGTTCAAAGTTTTTCTCCAGCTAAAATGGAATGCCAGTTGTAAAATCCAAGTTTATAGACCATGTGGGACTTTACAAGGGTATTAAGAAGCCGTGCGAGGTAGGACTAACCCGTTAATGCGCTTTCCCGGGGAGGGGAAAGAAGGAAGGGTGGGTTTTCTTTCTTTCTTTCTTTCTTTCTTTCTTTCTTTCTTTCTTTCTTTCTTTCTTTCTTTCTTTCTTTCTTTCTTTCTTTCTTTCTTTCCTTCCTTCCTTCCTTCCTTCCTTCCTTCCTTCCTTCCTTCCTTCCTCTTCCTTCCTTCCTTCCTTCCTTCCTTTCTTATTTGGATGCCGGGATTTTGGACTGGGAAGGATCCAAATTGGAGAGGCACCGTGTGAGACTTGAGTCCAGCTCTGTTTTTAACCTTCCCCTAAAATCGGGGCATTCTAAGCTGAAGAAAAAAAATAAATCCGAAGAGCCGAATAACCTAATAGTGCATTAAGATTCTACTTGTTGCGGGGGAGGGGGAGAAAACGGGAGGAGGGGGTGCAAGAAGCGGGGGGGGGGAGTGAATATATGATGTCTTTGAACTTCAAGGGAGTCAAGTCCATCACCTTTCACCCTTTTGTAATAAACCGGAATCAGAAAGGCCTTTAGTCGCTTCTCCCCCCCCCTTCAATGTTCCCGCCTACTGAGTTCAAGTAAGTGGACTGGCCGGGAGTGGGGGGGGGGTTGAGTGCGCGCGCGCGCGTGTGCGTGTCTGGGAGAGCCACCCAAATTTCGAACCCAGCCGCGGCGTTTTATGACCCTTCATATTTAACTCAGCTGCTCAGTAGTTTCATGTATCTAGAGGGGAAAAAAAGATGGACATTAACGCATAGACACCCAGACACCCGTTGCCACATACGAGGTTTATGATTGTTATAAAACCTTTTAATATCTTAACGCATGGAAAGTTTTTATAACTTTGTTTGGCATAAAAAGTTTTACAGCTAGGCCACCCCTCCCCGACGACCTCTCTCCTTTCCCGGCCGTCTCTTCCTCTTCCGCCCCACTCCTGCCTCTCCCCCCCCTCCAATTCCTACCAGCTTTGAGCCTTTGCAGAAGGCAACTTCCACCCCCACCCCCCACCCCCAGCTCGGAGAGATCGGAGGAGAAAGGCTTCCTCGTAGGCCCAGGATTGCATGGAAAAACCACTTTAATGACCCTCAGGCTAATTGCGGGGGAAAAAATCTCCGTCTGGCTGCCAACACACACGCGCGGGCGCGCGGGCGCGCACCCGCTCTCTCTCTCTCTCTCTCTCACACACACACACACCCCGAGCGAGCCAACCTGTTTCCTGCTCCTGCTAGGAATCCCGCCTGAACTTACTGGACGCTATTTAGGAGGCGGTCTTGGCGGGGAGACTAGTGAGAAAGGTGAGGGGGGTGGAAGCGAGCTCGGAGCCGGCTACTGGGAAGGACCCACAGCTGCCTTTAGGTCGGCTGGAGGGCAAGAAATGCCTCCCCCCCGCTCTCAACGACCGTCTTCTCGTAGTTGTAATTTGCTAACTGCAAGCTTCGCCTTCAACACCGGCTGGCGGGGGTGAAACGGATTCGTCCCGGGTGGGTGCGAGAAGATGTTTCGGTGGGCTTCGGCGAGTGTATTCTACTTCCTCCTGGGTTCGGGAGGCTAGAAGCGTGGCAGGAGAGCCGGAGCTCGGCCGTTGTGGAACTTGACTGAGCGAGCAGATTCGGGCTCCCCAGGGCGAGTCCTTATTGCGGGTGGGGGTGGGCAACGTGTAAAACACACCCGCAAAAAGACCCGCAAGAGAACGCGCCTAAGGCAACGCGTCTGACTTGACTGCCCGCTGAGTTTCTGTTTAGGCTCGGGAACTTGGCC